CTAGACACAGGAGAACTATTGTCGTGAAAGTGTTGTACAGTCGATTACGAATTTAGATTGCAGAGAGTTTGTTCTGAGCGCTAAAAGCACTCACGATAGAGCACATTTTGCTTTATTCTAACAAAGAACATGCCGACCACCTCATCCAAAGCATTGCCCAATACTACCCCATCTCCACTGACTGGGACGGCAATTTGTATTGCGGCATCCACCTCCAATGGGATTGTAACAAACGCACTGTGACGTTATCCATTCCAGGATACATACAAGCAGCCCTACACGAATTCCAACACACCGCACCAACTCGCCCCTACCATGCCCCGTCACATTGGACACGGCCCAAATATGGCCCTCGTACCCAATTGACAAAAGTGGACCACACCAAACCAATGTCAACTACACAAACGAAACTCCTCCAAAAAGTTGTGGGGAAATTCCTATTTTATGCCCGCATCCTCCACAGTGATGCATCCTACTTGACTGAAGCCAAAGCACGCAGCCGTGTCGACGGCCACTTCTACATGGGATCAGCCCAACAATCCAGTACTAATCTCAATGGCCCCATTCTTGGCCTGACCAAGATTATCAAAGCCATTGTATCCTCTCCTGCCGCTGAGGCCAAAGTTGGCGCACTTTTCTACAACTGCAAAGAGGCCATCTCCATCCGCACCTTACTCACCGAAATGGACCACCCACAACCAGCTACCCCAGTCCAAGTAGACAACTCTACTGCAGTCGCCATCGTCAACAACAGGTGCCGCCAAGTCCGCTCCAAAGCCATTGACATGCGGTACTATTGGGTACAAGACCGAGTCAAACAAGGACAATTCAATATCTTTTGGGCCCCAGGCCCTACCAACCTTGGCGACTACTATACCAAACATCACCCCATTCACCATCACCAAACCCACCGACCCATCATGTTGCACTCCAAACGCTAGCACTCTTTGAATCTCCACTTTGCGAGGGTGTATTGATTCATTCCAACATCCACTCGTGACTCAAGGATTACCGTTACAAAGCACGCCGATTCAAATCCTCAGTCGTCTGGGCTCTTACATTATGCAGGTGCAATTTTTAGTGGTTTTTCAGCCAATGAGAGTTAGTCAAATCACTAAAAATCAACCCATTTTTAGTGGTCTGAACCAATCACAGCGGGCCATTTGTTGGAATATTGAGCTCTCAGTAGACGTACTGACGCACAGACGCCTTCACTACTCCGCTAGCTGGGACTCCAGTCACGACTGGAGATCGATGCTCTAGCTCTCTTCGAATTTCACTAGCTTTCTTAGAAATTTGATGCAGCAACTCTTTCCAAGTATTATCAAGTAGTGATAACCTCACAATTTATTAATTCGATTATTTATCAACCAACTTCGTATAAACTACCTTTATCGACTCAAAGCCCAATCCAGAGGCCTTGCTCCTGTGGAGCTGTCTCAGGATTTTAACACGCTCCCTCTGCGAGTCTAAAGGGCCCATTGCATGGTACAAAGTACTCGAAACGGCCCACTGAATCAAGATCCGTACATCCCTCGTCGCCGTCGAAGAAACAACCAAGTTCAGAACATGGCTGACAATCCTCCTCAGGGAGGCAACGACCCAGACCCAGAAGTTGTGGAGGAAAACCAACAACAACCTGCGCTAGCAGGAAATGATGATGAAGCCGCGCAAGCCAATCAACAAGGCGGACAACAGGCCAACCCTCCGGTTCCCGATCTCCTAAACAACTTGATCGCAGCAGCAGCCGTTGCTGCAAACCCATTCAATCAACAAGGTCAACAACAAGGTCAGCAACAAGGTCAGCAACAAGGTCAGAACGCCGGTCAACCGCAAGGTGGAACCAACAATGCTGCGAATCTACTAGGGCAGCTATTGGCTCATCCACAAGGAATGAATCTACTAGGTCAGCTCATCACAAGTGCGACCAATCCGAATGCGACCACTCCGACTACCCATACTCCCCAATATGGAGCGTTTCCATCGACTTCAGGAACTACTCCTATCGACATTGGAACTTCCTACGGCATCAAACAGTACTCAAAGGCAGTCGATTCCCTCTACTCTAGTGGTGAAGACAAGTTTGATTTGCAACCAGCAAGACTACTAAATTTTATCGAGAGAATCCAAACTAGAGCCCTTGAGGCGGGATGGACCATCATCTTCCAGGTTCAAAACTCCGCAAGAAACAACGCCACTGACGACTTCCTGCAACTCCATGGACAGATCTCTATCGAAGATGTTCGACGCCATGAGCAAGCCTACCTTGTTCAAGCCGACAGCCGCAGCAAGCAAAGCTCTCTCCACCTGCAGCTCTGCATCTACAAGTCGCTCACGGAATCTGCCCAAGCTAAAGTCTTACGGGACAAAAATCTCTTCACCATGAATGGAATGAGAGGCGGATTGGCGTATCTGAAGGTGGTCCTCCTGAGGACAACTCCCGCCAGCAACTCCAATGTGAATCACATCCGACGTCAACTTGCAAAACTTCCCGAGTACATGACCAAGGTTGGATCAAACGTTGAAAAGTTCAATCTTCACGTTTCCGAGCAACTTGAGAACCTTGCCCACTATGGGGAGGAGTCCAAGGATGTACTGATCCACCTGTTTGAAGGGTACAAGGCAGCATCTGATAAGTCATTTGTTTCATACATTGAGAGAAAAGAAGAAAAACATGAGGACAACTCCGAGCCAACCAATGAACCCAAGCTCATGCAAGACGCCGAAAACTATTACAAGAATCGTGTTCGTGATCAAACCTGGAATCGCCCTGACGAAAACCAACAAGCTATCCTCTCGCTGAAGGCCGAGTTCAAGCACATCAAAAACTCCAAGAAGTCTGAAAGCGGAAAGAAGAAAGACAATGACAAGAAGTCCGGCGGTGGTAAGAATAAAGGCAAGGGCAAAACCAACAATAAGCAAAAATCTATGAATGTACCTGCATGGAAGACCACTGCGCCAAAAGCAGAAGACAAACTTAAAGCAAAGTATGTTGACGGTGACTCCAAGCCCTGGTATTGGTGCGAAGCCCTCAAGAAATACTGCCGCCACACTCCGGATCAATGCAACCAAGATCAAAACAAAAACAACAAAAAGGACAAGATCAAGCTCAGAGCCGCCATGGCCGAGAATTACGCCCCGTCCGACTCTGATACCGATGAAGAATGAGAGCTCCTCAAGAGCACTCAAGGGTGGATTGTTGTTTGGCCGTGGCTTTGGTGGGGTCTGCTGTCTCAGTGGATCGCTAATTGGTGGAAACGCCTCCCGCTCTACCTCCTTGCCACAGCTGTAACACTTCATGTTGTTCTTTTTGGATGGCCCCGTGATGACTCTGTGCCATACTATGTTCCCAAATCTCAAAGGTGGACACGGTATGCATGGATGAGAAAGTGGGTCAGATACAAGTGGGTTCGACTAGCCAAGAAGTTTGGACTCACAGGAAGAAAATGGAATAAAGAGGTTAGGGAACGTACCTCCACAAAATTACGTACCCGAATTAAGCTCTACCGACAGCTCCGGACTCGCAAGTCTAGCTATCAGTGGATGTCTTATAAGTGGATGTATCGCATCCAACGCTCTCGAATCCCACGAGAAATCCAACGAGCGCTCATTGCCAACTCGGTATTGGCACACCGCACTCAGTCAGAGGGAGGCACACACCATCCAGCTCGCTTCGACACCGATTCACTG